AATTGAACAAAAGCGGCAAAAAATGGAACGATCAGCGGGTCCATGGAGTTCATTTGTAGTACTTGTGATGAAGAAGTTGGCAAAAATGAGGTTCTGTGTGAACTATGGAAGGTTTAATGATGTAACGAAGAAACACTTCCTAAAATCGATGACACGCTGGATTCGTTATCAAGCATAAAATGGTTCTCAACACTCGATTTGAAAAGTGGTTATTGGCAAGTGGAGTTAAACGAAGACAAAGAAAGGAAAGGAAAGGCGGTAGCGCTCCTGCTACCTTTGAGATACTTATGGACCAGGTATTAAAAGGATTGCACTGGAAGAATGATCTGGTATACCACGACGATATCATCGTGTTGGATAAAAGCTTCGATGAACACCTTAATAACCTGGAAGAAGTTTTCCAACGAATAGCTAGCACTGGTCTAACGCTGAGCCCGAGGAAGTGTTCCTTCAGCTAACGAAAAGATAGAGCCAGTAAAAGATTGGGCCACTACTAAAAATTTACATTAACTTGCGTCGTTTCCTTCAATTTTTTAGTATTCATGAACTCACGAAATAGAGCAGAGTTTTTGATTGGAATAAACAACAGGAAGTGGCTTTCTAAACTCTAAAAAAACGGTTAAGTTCTGCGCCAATGTTAGCATACCCGGTCCCAAAATCCGCGTTGGATATGAATGTTAGTAGGATCAGTTCTATCACAAGTCATTGATGGGCTTGAGAAAGTGGTTGCGTATTACAACCAGACAATAAGCAAACCAGAGAGAAATTATTGTGTAGGGGGAATTACTCGTGAAGTGCATCAAACATTTTTATAAGCACCTTTATGGCGAGGGATTTCGGGTAAGGACAGGTCATGCAGCACTAAAATGGCTTCTACAATTGAGGAACCCAGAAATATCGTGGCACGGTGGATTGAGAAAATTCAAAGTCCGATTAATGCCAATAGCTCCAGACTGAGATCCGGAGGAACTGCTAAAATGTCAGCAAGAAGATCCAGATTTGAAATGTGTAATACATGGAGTGGAGATAAACAAACGTCCAACGAGAAATAGCTGCCGAAAATCCAGTCGCAAAGGCTTGTTGGGCACAAAGGAATTGTTTAAAATTTGTGTCTGACTGATTGCATCGCGTATGGGAAGGCGGAGATAGGCAAAGATCTCGAGCTTTGGTGAGAATCACTAAAACCTTGGATAAATGAAAACAAAGATTTTATTGGGTTGGTTGTCGTCAACCAGTTACGGAGAAGATCGCCAATTGTGCCGACTGCATTGCAGCCAAAAGGCCGAGGTGCAGGAGTCATGGCTAAATGAAGCAGCACAATTCAGGTGCTCCGTTTCAGCGAATTGCCATGGATGTTAGGAAACAAATATGTTTTGGTAGTCATGGCTCTTTCAGCAAATGGCCGAAAGTATACGTATTTTGAATCAGCTCTAACTGTACAACTGCATTTCATCCGCAGTTCGATAGCATGGTAGAACGATTCAATCGAATTTTGGAAGAACATTTAAGATAAGTTGTGGACAAGTATCAAAAAAATTGGAATACCTATATATCTTTGTTCCTGATGGCTTATCGGACTGCTGTACTTGAAACAACGGACGAGCATGGGTAATTTTTGGTAATGATCTTTAGTTACCAATTGATTTGAAGCTTGGACTTAACGCTAACGGAGGAAGGAAGGCTAAGGCCGTCAACAGCGTCCTAGAAGACGAGATGAGGGATATACATGCTATGGTGAGACAGCGCACCATAATTATGAGCGATAAAATGAAAGCAAAATACGACAAGGCAATGAACTCTAAGAGTTTTATTGAAGGAGATTAGGTATTATTATAAAACTCATAACGAAAGAAAGGGCTATCTCCCAAATTAAAGTGTACTATACTAGGTTATTAAACGACTCAACGATGTAGTCTATCGCACACAGACCATTCGAAGATCTAGTAATAAAATGAAGGTAGTTCACCTGGAACGGCTTGCAGCGTTTGGTGCCGCAAATATGTCTAATCGGGACGATCAGACTTAAGTGAAGGGCAGTGTGGCGAAAACGAACGCCAGAATGTTCGAGTGACAATGCACAGCATGTATGTATGTGCCAAAAACATTTGGTGGTATTTCTAAATAATTTTTACAAATGGTCACGAAATATCTCGGACAATCAAATGATGTTATCTTCGACCAATATTAGTATCCGTCAATAAAAGATAACGAAATATGAAGCTGTTTAAATGCAATATATGTATATTGTACATCATTTTGTTATTGTATTGTACCAAGACTTGTCCAATAGTGTTACTATAGAATCTGACACAAATATCTTAATAATAATGCTTGGTAATTTGATTTATTACAACAATTGGTCATCTTATACTTGGATGCTTACTGCGACCGGAAACCATGCAAGGTTTATTGACAACACAAAAGCTCATGAGCAACGCAGCAAATTATTGACAAAAAGCTTGATTGGTTTTCACACTTTCACGGGTTGCAATTTTAACCCTGCATTTTTTAATAAAGGAAAGTAGAGAACCACTTTACTTTGTTAAAAAAAAACCTTGAATTCCAAAAAGCTTTTGTAAGTTTGAGAAGCGCCGTGTGAACTCCGGATATGTTAAAAGTATTAAATATAATATATCGGGTTTTTCAATAGGGATGATATGATTTCTAAGTGTCGTTTCGGCCATTTTTAATATGTCATGATTTGTCAATTTTTTTTTGATTGTATTCCGTTAAGTTTACAATTTCATAATGGAACGACATACACAAGAACATCTTTTAAAAATTATTTAATTTCATTATCAAAATAATCGTTATCTAATTGCAACTTTTCGTGCGCTTTTGCCATGTTTGGTCGTTACGGTTAGGATAAATGGTGCGGTAAATAAGCAAAACTGTGGATTCTGGTGCGAAGAAAATACACAAATTATACATGAACACCCTTTACATTCACGTAAATTGACAGTTTGGCGTAATTTTTGCTCTGATGGAATCATCGGTCCGTACTTCTTTCGAAACAAAGCTGGTGACACCGTTACTGTCAATGGAGAGCGGTTTGATTTAGATCGATGATAACTAACTTTTTATGGCCGCTATTGGTGGAAGTTGATCTTGACAATATCTGGTTCCAACAAATGTGCGCACGATTTGTCACGTGCAACAACCGAACTTTTGCGAGAAAAGTTTGGAGATTTCATAATTTCAAGAAATTTTGACAATGAATGGTCTCCAAGAAGTTGTAATTTAACACCATTAGCCTACTTTTTGTGGGGTTATTTGAAGTCATTGGTCTTTGGCAAAGTCAATATTGAAAAAGTACTCGAGTCCATTTGAACTAAGTTATTCAGAATTTAATTGTATCGATTATACTTCACACTAAATAAAAAAAATTGAATTTCATTAGCAATTAGTGCAGTTTTTTTTAAATCATGTCACTCTTTTTGGTTATCACTCAGATTTGTTAAAATACTTTTTAATTTTTTTTTTAATTTCAAAACATTGCGAGGCTATAACTGACAAAATACTCTGCCATTATTTTTGGGCGTTGCTTTTATTTTATTCTTAATATGCCTAAATGGTTGCTTCCGAATCTCTTCTAATTTACTACAATACTTGTATTCCCGTGCTGACTTCATTAGTACCTTCTATGAGATTTCTGGCTGCCGATCTCAAGTAAGGTATGAACAGGAGAATATTTAAGCAAAATATCACCTTTGGTAAAATAGTACATACAGTTTGCCATTCAATGACCATAACTTTTAAACATTTATAAAAACTACATCATAACACTGAATATCACAACTAAAGATCAATATTTATTGTCTGAACATATTAAATACTTTTTACATATTTACTACCATTATTGTCCCTATTTCCGTTGTCGTTTACAAGTTGTTGTTGTTATCGTCACTTCGTTTCTAAATTCGTATTCTAATCGCTGCGTTGTATATGACGTTGGTATTTGTTGTTTTGAAGAAAATATTTGAACCATTTTGTGAATATTTGAATCATATTTATACTCTCGCAACCTGTTGCTACAGAGTATAATAGTTTTGTTCACTTAACGGTTGTTTGTATCACCTAAAACTAATCGAGTTAGATATAGGGTTATATATACATATATAAATGATCAGGATGAAGAGAAGAGTTGAAATCCGGGTGACTGTCTGTCCGTCCGTGCAAGCTGTAACTTGAGTAAAAATTGAGATATCTTTATGAAACTTGGTAGACATGTTTCTTGGTACCGTGAGACGGTTGGTATTGCAGATGGGCGTAATCGGACCACTGCCACGCCCACAAAACGCCATTAATCAAAAACAAATAAATTACCATAACTAAGCTCCGCAATAAGATATAAGACTGTTATTTGGTACACAGGATCACATTAGGGAGGGGCATCTGCAGTCAAAATTTTTTTTAAAAAGTAGGCGTAGTCCCGCCTCTAATAGGTTTAATGTGCATATCTCCTAAACCGCTAATGCTATAATAACAAAATTCACTAGAAGCAAATGTTTTTAGGACGGACGGACAGACAGTCACCCGGATTTCAACTCGTCTCTTCATCCTGATCATTTATATATATATAACCCTATATCTAACTCGATTAGTTTTAGGTGATACAAACAACCGTTAGGTGAACAAAACTATTATACTCTGTAGCAACAAGTTGCGAGAATATAAAAAGACTATCGCAACCAACCATTTTGAACGAACTTGGCTATCAAACATATGATTTCTAAGTTTATTCAATCAAAGACATTGTGAATAATACTATTCGTATGTAGTATATATTTATGTATGTACATACGTACATTTATGTACATACTTGATCACCCGTATATTTGAATAATACTATTAATAGATTATAATATAGGTTTCATTGGAAATTTTATCTATTCCTATAAACTTAAATTATATATTCATAATATGTTTTACTTATACATATGGTATATAGCTTTAAATGGTAATTTTCATGCATAGTTTTTGTTTCGGTTTATTTTTAGACTGTTAATCCATCATGAAAAGAGTAAACATAGATGATACCAACGATCTTCCTATTAACGTAGTGTCGAGTGTTATTAGTTATCTAGCATCATCAACTAATTTTCATTGGCTCCCGTCAAGCACAGACAACTTATCCACAACAATGGGTGGAACTGTGTACTGTAAAAATACAATTACTCCTGAAGTTTTGTCTTTGGCTCCACCGCTGATGGATTTTGAAGATGAACTTATTTGGTTTGAAAATAGAGGGAATAGCAATGAGATTGTATCATATGATAACTCGAACTGCATTAATGCGTGCTCGAAGTACCTTTTAAATCTTGCTTTTTGCCAACCTTTAACACCTCAGGAGCAAAAAATATTATTGGAAGATGTTGTGAAGCATACAAATTTTATTTATCAAATAGGATTAACTCCATCTAAGGTATTGTGTTTTACATTATTATATAATTAATGAAATATTACAAAACAAATTACATATAAAGTGAATTATAATCAGCAAGGCCCGAATCGCGGCACTCATTAGCGAGTGAAATTCTTGTAAATCTTCTGTTTTTGGATCGCGGCACTCGTTATCGAATACAAATTTTCGAAATTTCAAATTACATCATTCGATAGCGAGTATTCGTTCGTAGGAAGAAATCGAAATGTCACTCGTTAACCAATTGTTTAACGTTATAGTAATATCAATTATAAATAATTGTAGACAAAATATAAGTTATTTTTCTTTTATTAATTTTATATAATATACAATATATTATAATTATAACTAATGATTTAAGGACAAATGCAAACAAAATAAGCATGCAGTAGAATAATTTAATGAGCGATTTTATGCTGCAGCATCAGGAGTCTGCAAAAAATATTTTGCCTAATTGTGGGCAAGGCACAGTTGTAGCAAATAAGCTATGGGATACATTGACGCAAAAACGTATCTCTGCGGGCCCACCGGTTAACTCTCGGGGAAAGGTAAGATCACTACTAGCAAATTTAATAGTCATCATAAATTAATAGTTATATACGCAAATAGTTATTTGCTGATCAGAAGCATAATATAAAAAAAATTCGTTGAACAAGGCTTTAGAGCAATCGATTGGCGGCGGTCGGTACAAGTTATTGGTTGACAACAGTTCATTCATTTGGAAATGTAGTGCCAGATGAAGGGTTAACAGAGTTGAAAGAGATGCTCATTGACAGCGGGAAAGAAAAAGATGATCCGACACCATCTACCAATCGTAGTGCTACAAAATCCACTAAAATGAATCCCACTGCCGAAAGCGAAAAGCTTGCTTTTTTAAAAAAACAATTCAAGCGCATATGAAGTCAAGCAAGCCCACATTAATAAAAAGCTTGACAAATTTATCGCTTTAAAGAAGAAGTCGCTGCAAATAAAAGAAGAGGCACGTAAAGCAGATATGGAAATAAAAGCTGTGAAACAGTCTCTTGACCTTGATGCTTTAAAGACAAAGATTCATAAATAAATGCCGTATCTATTTCTGTATCATTGTTTTCATTTAGAAAATATCTGCAGAAGGGATTTTGTTTCTGGATCGTCGGGCGCAGTACAAATAATTATTTTTATACAGCATATCAAATTTTGTTTTGGTTTCGCATCGTATCTCATTGTTATCATTAAAAGAATCTACACACTTTATGTCAATATTCAGTAGGTTACAACATTGATTTTCAAAATCACGTTCATCAGTATTATTCATTACAATTGTTTCTATAGTTAATTATACTCAGCTAGTTTTAGAAAAGATCCTCCCAAAATTATTAGATATATTATATTATAGTATTATCTTGAACAACATACAAATTTAAACCTATTTCTTTTTTGTCACAAAAAACAGTACATTTCAATAAACCAATAACTTTCAGTTGACTTTTATTTATTCCAAATAAACTCATTTCTGAGTTTACATTTTCTATAAGTATATTAAGCACGAGCTACTGGCGTATAAAAAAGATTTATATTTACTATCTTTAATACAACTAAACTGTATATATCTTACATAATCATCGTGATAACCATCAACTTGATGTACTGAAGCCCCACTCCTTTTTGGACAAACGGCTGCGAAGTGTCCTATCTGCGCACATACATGGCACGCTCCTTTTTCAGGCTTTAGCTTGTGAAACTCATTTGCCAAGTGACGTAGTGAATTGCAGTTAAAACATCTTACCGCTAACAGACAACTGCACCTCTTGAAATGCTTCGAGTACGCTTTGATTGTCTTTAAATCGTTGCATTTTTGCTTGGGATGGTAAAGTATAATTCAGGATCCCCTCAATTAAATGTTCAATTAGGTCAGTGTCATTAATTAATACTTTGTTGGAGAGAATCAATTTGTTGTTAAAATATTCTGATTTGTTTTCTCATTAGTGTTATACGGTCTGAACGATTATCAAATAGCTTAACATTGCAGAAAGCATATTTTCAACACTCAATGACAATATATCAGGCCGGGAATAGAAGCACTTCAAAGCTCTGCCTTTCAATTTATTAGAAATAAGCGCCTTCATGTTGTCATTTAAATTATACACTTTTTGTGCATAGATTAATTGCACTATCCAATTTCGAAAGCAATTACCACTGTCTGCAAAATTCGACACTTAGTCTTTAATACCCACACAAATAACACAAAGTTTTCCTTACTGGCAACACCCTCACTGTTACAATTCGTTTCTTGTGCTCCTTCATTTTTCGCCAATCTGTCGCAGCCATGATTTCAGCTGTGCAATACCTACAGAGAGTATTGGAATCCCACTTTTGATTACTGTTACTCATTATTTTTATAGAGTTGCCACAATATGTTAAATTCTTAAATTATATGCAGATGTTATGCAACGCTGCACATATGAGGTGTGTTCAAAGGAAAAGGTAAATTTTGAATTTTTTATATATATTGTATTTTGTCATCAGTTGTGGCAAAACACTTTCCTTTCATTGGTTCCTTCAGTTTTGGGAATAGGAAAATCGCAGGGAGCCAAATTTGTGAATATGGTGGTTGAGGCATGAATACGGTTTTGTTTTTGGCCAAAAAATTATGATTAAGCATTGAAGCATGGAAAAGCAATTTGGCAATTTCGAAACAAACTTTGCTGCCAAACTGAAAATAGTTGTATTGTCTATTTACATTTTACTTGCAAAACAATAACAAGTTTAGCGCTGTTGTAATTTAATATACATTTACGCAAATATCCATTTGAGCTCCCTAATATGTATTGCTAATATAAGTAATAATATACTTTTTGAGTGTGTTCCTAATTTTTAAGAATTATTATCGATGCTATAACAGTTGTGTAAATATTTTTTATGATTACTAGTGCCGACAATATATTGTGATTTGTGTGTATTTTATTAACAAACTGAAGAGAACAAAATCTTTTAAATTGCTACTTTTTTTACGAAAACAAGTAAAACTATAACTCTCTGACACTTTTACATTTGGTTAATACATTTTACTACTTGTGCGCAGACTTTTTCTGCCAAATAACTATTTTTTTTTTTAAATTTGCCTATAAGGCAAGTCAGATTTTCATTGCTCTAAATACTATGGGATTTTGCAATAGCAGACTTTTTTTGCTCTGCCAAATTACTATTTTTTGTAAATTTGTTTATAAAACTATGGTGTCAGATTTTCAATGCTTTAAATACTATGGGATTTTGCAATAGAATAGTTATAAAGCATTTAATAAGATTATGCCCTAAAATTTCGTATATAAACGTTATTTTTCAACGAAATAAAATAAAATATTAACGTGTACGCAGACTTTTTCTTGCGAGTGTATATTCCACGAGGCGGCTCTTGTGTGAAAAATACTCTGCGTTAGATTTATATATTATTCGTCAACGAATATGGGGTTTTTTTTCGAAATGTGGTTTTAAAAAAGAAATAAAGCAAATATAAATTAATGTTGTAGTCAAGAATTTAGCTTTATTATAAATATAAGTGTTGCCATTATGTTTTAAAAATGGCGGCAGGCTCGCATAGTTTCCAATTTCCGAAAGGCCCTATTTTCGACCACTTTTTGCGGCCGTATGTTAGCAATAAGGCGCCACACATTCTCTTCCAAGCCGTCAATCGTCTCACGCTTATCTGCGTAGATAAGCGACTTCACATAAACCCATGTTGACATTCAGCAATAAGACATTGGTACCAAAGATTGTCCGCATCAATATTTTCCAATTCAGGCAAAAAAGTCATGAATGATGGCTCCATAGCTCACCATTGACTGTAACATTATTGTCGGCTTCAGTTTTGAAGAAATATGGATCAATGATTCCGTCTGCACATAGAGCAGACCAAATAGTGACTTTTTGAGGATGCAATGACGCCTCAACAACGGCTTAACCAAAAGTTAGCTTCATCGCTTCAAAATTTTCTTGTTAAAATCGGGATCGGTGGCCATCTCGTTTTGGGCCACCGAACGTACGACGCGCCACAATGGTGGTCGCTCGGCTTTAATTCTTGTACGAGTTGGATTTCGTAAGCCCGCAAACTAAGATTATTCCGTAAAATCTTCCATAAAGTGGATGGGCACAGCTCAAATTGTTGCGCACGATGGCAGATGGACTCATTTGGATCTTCTTCTATACTCTGCAACAGCAACAGCATCTTCGCTGCGCACTGTACGTCGACTCTGAAGATGTATACAATCCACTAAAGTAAACATGATACGAAACCGATCCATGGTTGCTCGAATTATCGACTCTGCAGGGCGATTATGTCGACCGAATATTGGACACGGCACGCGTTGGGTCACGTGAACTATTATTGTTTTCGTAATAAATTTGCACGATTTGCAAATTTGTTCCATAGTAAATCTGTTCATTTTGAAATGTCAAACCAAACTGAGTATAAATCAAGCCACAGCTGTCACAAAGACCAAAACCGAGAGAAGTAGCGTCTTAACGTTTAAAAAAACACTCGTTTTATTATAACAAGTATTAGATTATTTGGATACTAGGCAAGTGATGGCCGATCTAGAGTTTGGACAAATCAAATACTGCGCTTGATATGGATAAATTTGTACTAACAGTTAAACATGGAGGCGACAGCGTTATGGTTTGGGGTGCCATGGCCCCTAAGGCTACTATGAACCGCTATGTTTTTAAATACATATTGGAACACAATTCGAAAGCAACTGTGGATTGTTTGAGTATTGGAATGCATTGGATTTTTCAATAAGACAACTATCCAAAGCACAAGGTGCACGTTGTGCAAGATTGGTTTCCATATAATGCCGCCAGACAACTACCACAGTCACCAGGTATAAATCCTATTTAATATATAATATATATTTAGGACGTTCTAGAAAAGAAAATGTGAAAATTTGACATCAGTAGCCGTAAATTCCTAAGAACTGCCTTTACCCGAGCTTGGGCCGAAATTTCTGCCGTCTACAAGCGGTGATTGATGCCCGAGGTGGAGCAAACAAATATTAAGATTAAAAAAAATATACCTCTAAATTTTATCATGATTCTGTTGCATAAATTAACAAATGTTAGCTAAGCCCTCGATACACTTCGTTTCCTAGTTGGCAACTGGTACTTTATATATCTTTATTATATCATCTTTTATGCTTTTTTAAATTTGATATATTTTTTTTTATTTTTTATTTGTATTTATATTGTCATTTTGTAGTTTACAAGTATTTAGTCATAAATCAGCGCATTCTGTATAAATTAACTGTGCCTATCAGCTGTCGATATGCTGATAGACTTTCCAAAGCCAGGTGTCCTATTCACTTGGTTCATTATTGTTAAATGCGCAGGCGCGTCAACGTGTATAATCAAACCACCAGTTCTCGCATTCTTTGAATTGCATCTTCGCGTGTTGCCTTTCACTATTTCTCGGCACCCCCTTGTTGCCAATCTGCGTATATATTCATGTGTTTGTGTGTGTATATCGACTTCGACTGTCTACTGACTATTGCCATGCCATAACGTATTATCGATTTGTATATTTCCGCCGGCGTGCCGTGCCTAGCCAACTAGTGCCTCGCATTCATGTGTCCATGCGTCTGTCTGCTGGGAACAACTAACACTAAACCTACCCTACTCCTAACTCAAGACTTTCCCACGGAATCACCTCATTAAGTGTTACTTCGTGCGAGTGATAACCCATTTAAGTCTTCTCTATGGTACGGACTGACGGGCCCCTAATATGTTCTATATGTCTTAGTTTTACAATGATTGAGGCTGCCGCTTCGTTGACAGCTTTCCAATTCTCAGTGGACTGACACTTAAGTGTTGTTAAGTTTTCCAACATAAAACTACCTCCTGACTAACATTAAACTACTGAAGTTTTAAGTTTTGCCATGTACTCGAAAAATGTGGGCAATAGAAAAATACATGCTCAGGGTCTTCTATGCACTCTGAACACATTGGACAGTTCGGATAATTATCATGATGGAATCTGTACATGTAGCTTCTAAAGCACCCATGTCCACATAGTATTTGGGTTAGGTGGAAATCCAGGTCTCCGTGTCGTTTGTCTGTGGGTCCACCGTCCTTTGAGTGAGGTTTGCCATCGCTGCTGTCATATTGATAAGCTTTTGACTCTCTCTACTCTTTTGACTCCTATAGACGGCTCTGATAACTTGTATACTCGCGCGAATTCGCGCTAGATATCGTTCGGAAAGCACTGATTACTCTTAGTGTTGACAGCCGGTGCACTGTGTTAATTTGTTTGGCATATGCTTTAATGTTTAACGCCTGGAGCCATATTGGGGCCGCATATAATACAACCGATCTTATTACCTTTGCGAATAAAAATCACTTGCTGATCGCCTGAGCGCACGCAGCCTTTATTTGCCATCATTCTTGAGAATTGTGTTTGCTTTAGCCGAGGTGTATTGTAGGAGCTATATTCAGATATTCTTTCCTCCACTTTCTTAGGACTTCTGTCTTGTGCTCAACCAGTACTAAACTCCTTGAGAAGAACCATTGCCGCAGACTGTTTACGCATTTATTGCATTTACTCCGGAGATCATCTAGATGTTTAACCATTGCTACTACTATAAGATCATCCGCGTAGGCGATTAATTTCACGGCTTCTGGTTGGTTTATTCTTAGCACCCCATCATACATCACGTTCTTTCATAAGTGCCCAATATTAGTCATATGTTTTCAAAATAACTTATAATAATGTTTACAAGATATTGAGGAGCGCGTATTTCATACAGAGCCTTGATTATGTTTGCCAATTTTGCCGAGTTGAAGGCATTCTTCACATTCAGGATGATCAGCGCGCAATATTTTTTTAGCCTTTCCATCTTTTTCCACTTACTGCACATTTTGCAGTGTCAGCTTTCTGAATTGCTAACTCCAAACGATATCTTACTATGCTTTCGTACACTTTGCCAATCGTGTCAAGCATGCACAGAGCTCGAAGGTAGTAGAAGCAAGCGCTGAATTTTCCATGTGTCGGGGAATATTTCTTGTACATTTGGTATTTTATTCATGACTCCCTTTAAGGTTATGTTTGGTAAGTCATCTATACTAGGCACTTTCAATTTTTCCGCTATGGGCAATCCTTCTTCTAACTCTAACTATTAGCGATGGAGCTACAACTTCGTTTCGTGGTTTAGCAGAGGTAATCAGATGGTGTATAAGAATTTGACATGCATATTTTGTACGCCGTACCCCAAGGGTCTACGTTTGCTTCCTCACAGAACTTTTCAAAACAGTTCCTCTTACTGCGCGAAATGGCAGACTTCAGAAACTTCTTTTGTCTTTTAAAAATTTCCCTGAGACTGTTTGAATTTCCCCCTTACATTGATTACGCTGTAGACGGCGTCTAGCTGCATTACATAGCTTTCTGAGTGTACCTATTGTATTTCTTCAAGATACCAAATGTGTGGCGTTCTCGCCTGGTGTATTTGCTGAGCTCCTCAGAAAGGTCAGCATAAAAGTTCTCTTGTTTCCAGTTTCGTTTTTGGCAGGTGCTCTTGCTGCGGAGTACTGTCCTTTATTTTGCAGTCTTGCCAGATATGTCTGTGGTCTGTGGAACGCTGGGAGTATTGCCCGCTTAGTAAAGCGACATCCAATATTGTCTGTGTAAACAGTGCTGCAGCGCATTGGTTTGAATTTAGCTGTAATATCCTCTTTTTTCCTAACGACGTCACCAATTCCAGATACTTGGGGTATGTCGTACTCAAAACTATGTGCTGCTTTGCAAAGCATACACCTTGTATTGTTGGTGCATGACTTCGCAACATATCCCCCCCACCAACTTGTGCATAGGGACGACCTGTCTATGGAGTTTCAGCATTTGCGTGCCATGTGACCCAGTGGAAGCACCTAAAGCAACGAGGAATAGGGGTGTATTCCCAGAGGCGGCAAATGGACTTCCGATCTTATTTTTGCCTACCTTGAGCGCAGCTTTGAAATCCTGAGCGCACACGCATATGAGAGCTACTTGGGTGCCCCTTCGGGTCTTTCGTATACTCTTAATACTTATTTTTCTCAGATTTTGTATTCCGCACTCCTTTTGTAGTCTTGCGGTGTAGTTATCTCATCCAAATCCGTTGACATAAACGTGACGATGTGGATTTTGGGCTGTATCACAGCTATTTCCCCGACCACACGCATCTTTTATTTTCCGAAGAATTTCAGCATATGATGTACCATCCTTTTTTGTAAGTATGATGGCGTCAGTGCGAGGTGTGTGTGTGAGTGTGCGTGGGTCTTTCGCTGTTTTGCCCTGTTTGCGTTGCTCAGCCGCAAGCAGTTAATAGTTGATCACGTTTTGTTATAACACAAGAAGCAAGAAGAGTCGGAATCGTCGTCAAGGCAGCAGCGAACAGTGGAAAAACAATTGTGTGTCTTATGGGGTTTTGTTTTTTTTTTATCAGCTCAGCTCGGTTTGAAGCTTCTAAAATTTGTTTTTGTTGTGCTTTTGCTCTTGTGCTTGTCGCTTTGCATATTGCATATTTAATTTGCCCGAAGTGGGCGGAAAACGAGACACTTAAATGATTGCAAGTGGCTTCGCACACGCGTATGCCTGTATGCCGGTTGTGGCGCCATCGAACGGTTAATCTCAGTACATATCAGGGCGAATCATTATTTGGTATTAACATGGTACTAGCAATATCCGCCCGAAATGATTATTGTTTCTTACTTGAAAATCGAATATGCTTAAGTAAGCGTCAACGTTATATAATTCATTAATTAATTAAGTTTGAAACAATTATATTTATCTAGCACAGTTTATATATTCATTTAGAAGGTATGGATGTATGTTAGAATGATTTGCAAAATGCAATGTTCCTTGTTGATCGGTACGTAGTGCCACTTACGGCAATTCACGATTCCATCACAAATTGTAAAGCATCGATCAGGTTACCAATTTACCAATGATAATTTATATAGTATTATTATGCCGTCGGTGGTTGATTGTTTCGATACGTACTTGTATCCCTTAGTCCGAATTAATGTGTTGGACCGTTCGCAAAAGTAATTACACTTTGCCCGGATATATTACTTTACTATTAATAAATTTCTTTTTAGTAGTTTTTGCATACACGGTCTAGATGAATCCACTTATTAGATTTTTGTGTTTTAAGGTTACATGTCAAGCATCCAAACCAATGTTTTTATAACATACGCGTAACTTCAAATATCTCCTAATTCATATTGACGTTTTCGTGTGTAGATAAAATCATCAAATCTAACTAAAATGAGTAAATTTTGATTAAAAATTGCAGTAATATTACGGCATTAATTTATAAGTTCTCAAGCTCAAACTTATTTATCTTATTACGCACATCTGAATCAAATGGTTGCAAAACCTTAGTTAAACCTGTTGTACATTGTTAAGTGCGTAAAAATGCTATTAAACAATAATAAAAATAAATATGTATATTATTACTTTATCTTTCAGTTGCCCCAATTAGTAGAAAATAATCCACTTATATCAATAGAAATTTTGCTGAGGCTTATGAAAACGGTGGAAATAACGGAATATTTTAATGTTTTGGTACAAATGGACATAACACTACATTCAATGGAGGTTGTTAACAGGTAAAAAATATTTCAGCTAAACCACTCTTGGATGTATTTATAAAATCACAAACTCATATGTGAAAACATAAAGTTGTTTGTATATTAAAGTTTGAATATTAAAATAAAGGATTATTGGCAAAAGAGTTAATTAATTATGTATAGTGAAAACTTATCTATGGTATAATAAAATATGTGTTTTGTATCATCCATAGGTAAGAGGAAACTGCAATCGCATTCTGAGATTCTATTTCGGCAAATTCTAGCTCATCTAGAGATTTCCGAGCTGGCTGCGATATTTTGTTTTTGAATATTCATGAAATGGTTCTTGTATTTTACACTGGCCCTTTTATGAGTAATATAGGAGCACTAAGTCTCTCTTAATACGTTAAAATAGTGATGTGTGTGTATCTGCTTTGCAGCCTATTCGTTATTTTACTTTATGTTATTTTTTATCTCTCTTTTATTTCTACAAAAAGGGACCTAATATGTTTTGGTAAACTGTTCAGTTAAAAAAGAGATATGTTTCATGCAATAACCTTTTATATGCGTGCGAGGTTAAACATTCTTGAAAACATGCGTGCAAATTAATGTATATGTTTCACAAACTGGTAAAACTATACCAACCGAACTCAGTGGGAATATTTCCTTCAAGCATATATTGATGCAGTCTGAAATCGGATAATAACCACGACTTAAAGAGCGATACCTCGCTAAGAAAAAACGGTACGGTTGCACCACTCACTTTTATGTGGAACTATTTGACCAATTCGAGCCGCATAGCCGTTTTAAATTAAATATTTACCAGTACCGTATTAATCTGCAACTGACTGACTATGCAAATTATGTCAACCCAAAGAGCCCATGCGAAAAATATTGTTTTTTTTTTTAACTTTTCATTTAAATAATTATTTATTAGAGTGGTAGTGTTTACATATAGATGAAATTAAATGAAGTCACATTATTTCTTTTGCAGTTGTGGTACTGGTGGTTACAGAAGATGGACAATTTCGATGTCATATTCATACAAGTAGACCCACGTTTTGGTATTTTAGTGCGGGTCTCGCCTTAACACACATCATACGCTAAGATGCCATAAGAGATGTTGAGATCCTCTCAAGCACTGTTTTTTTAAACTTTTACGTTCATTAACAGAGGTTGATAGACGACTTGCATTAGCCGATGACTTCACGACCTTTACTGAATACTGAAATATTTGTGTTCGTGAAAAAATAGATTCCCCATTGCCACAACATTTTCAACGATTGCGTTGCAATGATTCCATTGGAAACACAAAATTTCAAGCAAAATCGTTGTTAAATGGTTTTTTTCTATGGTATCAATCTTGTTTCGTTGACCCATAAAAGATGTCGCAATAAAATCAATCTAGAATTGTTCGATTAGCATTATATCCTTCAGTACTAAAAAATTTGGAAGTTTTTTAACTTCCCGCTAAGAAAATTGAAAATTTTCTAAAAATCGGGAAGATATTGGTTTCACCCCATTTTGCAAAAATCGAGTTCTCAACAGATCTCGACGTTTTGAGGGTCGAGGAAGCTTCCCCGAACATTTCTACGATGATGTCCGTATGTCTGTATGTATGTGTGGATGTATGTGTGTGTGTGTGGATGTATGTGACCCTCTTATAACTTTTAAACGGCTCAACCGATTTGAATAAACTAAACGGCATTCCAAAGGGTTTCATTGCACTTGAATTTCGTGTGAGTTTGGACCCAATCGGACCAGTAGATTTTGAGAAATCTCAAAAATAAAAATTTCTTCCAAACGACTTGACCGATCGACACCAAAAACTAATCAGTTCTAAACCTTGAAAAAAACACATCATTTGCCGCAAACCGGGTCAAAATCGGTTGATTTACTTGCGAGATATCGAAAACGAAAAATTTCGAAGAGCTCAAAAGCAGTGAAAAAAGCGAAATTTGAACGTTAGCGTATGAAATTAGAGGGAAGTTGCAGGGATGGCCCTTGAGGCCAACCGTTTTCCACATTTTTTTTTACCAAAACACGCACTAAAATATTTGTAACGACACTACTGAAACCTTTTTTTCACACTGATAGCAAACGAAAAGTTTATGCCACGCATAACGAATATGCAGAATTTGTAGTAGGTATAAAGTTTTGCCAATCTGAAAATGTTTCCTCGCCATTAATCTTTGTAAATTGCAAGAGTAAGAAATGTTCGTATGCCCCGAACTTTTCTCCTCCTTATTCGGTTTCCTTAATATTTAATAGAGTTTTCCCATTTTACTTTTTAAAATATTTCGTAAGCAAGGGTGTTTTTATTTATCATTCAGAAAGCTCGATTGTAGTTTTACCTCATATAAATATATACTTATATGTGCAGGAACGTTTTTTCCTTTCCCTGTTTAATTTTTTACTTTTGAATATATTTGGTTGTTGTTATCTTAGACATAAGGGTTTTATATATCACCGCATTGTTTGTTCCGTTACTTTCAAAATTTAAGAGCGCCTATAATATTTTATAGTAAATAATTTTATGTGCACGTTATCATTGGTTATTCATTCAGTTAGGGACACAGTTTAAGCATTTTTATTAAAAACAAAACATTGTTTTAACTCGAGAAATATCAGAAGTTTAATTGGCATCACTGACGCGTACAATTCGATCAGCTTTTTTTGATCTTGTTAATATGTCACCTCGTGCCGTGAAATAAGAAAAATTAAAAATGAGTGCGAAGCAACTTTTCTAGCAGAGAGTCCTAAAGGTCCCAAAAATAATTCCAAGTATTTAAATACGAGCAACAACAACTGTAGTGTTGTTAGAGGTGGTCTGACTATTATGGAAAAACTGGAAGCGTAAATGACAAGCCATGAAGAGGGTGGAATCACGTGACGTCTAAAGTGAGGACAAAGCTAGTGTACTCCTTTTTGAGAAAAAAAAAATTTAATTAATAAAGGATTTGATATATCTCTAAATACAATACGGGACAAACTTTAGGGATCTGTCGTCAAACAAAAATCCACAGTACTGTAATCAAACCCCTACTTTGAAAAACATTCAGTATCTACAGGAATAGAATCTATCTCTACTTCAGTGCCAAGTGCGTACTCAGCGTTGAATAATTTCACTGGATATTGTCCAAATGTACAGGCTATGGTAGTATGGAAGACGCTTCTACTGTAATCTCGACCTCGTTGCGGAAAGATTTCCAAGAATTTTTTTGACAAATATTTTTAATATGACCTTAGAAGGTTGTAATATCTGTCCAAATCCTTCTCCATTTGGGATAGTTTTGCAACATTAAATTGCCTTCTGCAATCTTTCCGTGATTTTTTAAGCTCAGCAGACCACCATGTTGCCCAATTCTTTCCCTACTATGGGTTATTGGACAAGTCACTTTTAATGCTTGTCGACAAGATTCCGTGAACTGTTTAAGGAGGATGTTTAGGTCCACTTTGTTCTTAGATTAGGAATCGTAGGAATACGCTACGTTCTTGCGTGTGTACTAGCCCTTCCAACATAAGTGTTATATCTAATACTTCCTGTCGAATTTTAGTTATAAATATTGTTGTATAACCACTATTGCACAACAAAAGCTAAGTACCTAGCAAATAGATAAAGATCAACTCACTTCTTTCGTTGATATCTCATTTCCACAAAGAGTTTGGTCTGTGTTTAAATCACATCCAAGTAATATCAGGCATTTGGACGTCTTGCTGTCCTGTACCAGTTCTTTTATCGGCTGCGATGGTATTTGGTCATTGTAATACGGCATGTAACTCGTATCAGTCGGTACCTGCTTAGAGATAATAAAGATATTATACTGTGATGAAGATTTCGTCTCCAAGCCAGGTTTTGGTGGTGTGAGGTTCTCTAAAGCGATTACGAATTGTCAACCCTCCGTTGGCAGTTTTGAATTGCAGGCTCCAATAAGGTACATTATCTGGTCAAGCTCTGATGGTGTAGCCAGAATCCAAACCCCTGCCCTTGGCCTGGATGGTTAATCTTTTCTATCGACTGCCACCAGTTTAGCTCCCTAACTGTAGCTAAAGGGGCTTTATAAAGCTGGACTGATCTCTCGCCAATTCCACATCCAATTATCTGGATTTGGCTATGGTACCAACCGGCATTTATGCATGACGGTAGCAGATCCGGATTTATTAATAGCACCCTGATCCAGGACGCCAATGGTAATGCAATTCCGGGCCACATCAGCAAACGATTTAGTGGAAATCACACCCTTTGTTTTCGGCCTTTTTAGTCTCTTCAGCTAACCTTTGTCTTTTTACCGCCACTGCTGGCGGTTTGAGTTTGTAGTTGGGTAGAACAGCTTCCGCACAATCAATGGATTCGTGGAGCGCTCCATTGGCGGACGGTTGCAGTTGTACCCTTCTGAGCAAGTACGACGATCCCGCATACCTTGCTTTTGATGGATCATCCTAAAAGATAGGGCATTCTTTTAAGGAATGTACTACATACCACTTCTAGCCTTTGCACCTAGTTCATTAGTTGCTCTCTTTGTGCTGCTCTTTTTACAGCTCGTTGAAAATGCTGTTCTGTTCTTGAAACAACTAGTTCCTTCCTGCTTTTTTGCTGGACTAAATGTTTTCTTATTTTGCTTAATTCGACTCATATTTTGCATCTTCTATCTACGAGGATCAACGAACACCCTATTTAATGTCAAACCTAAGCTATATACCTTCCAACTGCAACATGGATGAACTATTTCACTCAGGGGTGTTGTAGAATCTGATAGTTGTCGGAATCAGAATTGAAACCGATAAAAAAATGTAATAGGTGTAATGAATTCAGATATTATTGATTTGACGTTCGAAACAGAAATTGTATCGCTTTTGGGCGTCGCGGAAACCAGTTTTATCGGGTTTGTTATCAGAAACAAAGCAAGAGGATTTTTGCTGACAAATTTGAAATGTAAGTTAAGAAAATAATTTATATTATTGTTATGATTTAATTTATTGTTATTTATATAAGGGAATAATACAAAAAATGTCATAATTATCGAGTTTATGGAAAAATC